GATTATTAACTTTTTAGTATTTAGTAAGAAATTAATAAGAATATTGTCAAATGAGTTTTATATAAGAAAAGCTAAGAGGAAGCATTTTTTCTAGAAAAGTTTACAAGTTGCAATTTGTGTTAAGCAAAATAAAAACTAAAAATGTTATTTTTAGTTTCATTTTATTGTAATATTAATGTGTAAAAATATATCAACAATACTATAAGAATGACAGTTTGGGAAAAAAAAAAGTTTCCCTCAACCAACATACTTCAAAAACATCTCCAAATGAATATTTTTAAAAACTAACAATTAGATTTAATATTTTATTAATATAAATAATCCATGTCAACTTTTAAATTAATTAAATATAATTAATTAATTAATTATACAAAATTTAACACTATTATATATTTTAAAAAGTACAATTTTTTGTGGAACTTTAGTAATTTAAGTGGTTTTGTTAGTATAAAAGACCACATCCCCTACCCATCCCTTGCAAATTTGAGCTAGGTACTCTAGTATATTAAAAAAAATGGTTTTTTTAATAAAATAATTATAAATATTAAATTAATTTTAAAATTAACATACGTAATCTATATCAATAAAATATTAATTTTAATAATTAATTTTTAAAAATATTCATTAAATGGTGGTGTACTCTAATTTTTAATAAAAGTCAGCACCAATATACTATATTTTCTTATATTTTAATACATTTAAATGAGTTTAATATTTTTGACATAAGCTAAAATTAAAATTATTAAATCATATCCTTAACAAATGAACATAAAAAAAGAGTTTCTTTAATAAGGCATTTAAATAATTTTAATAGTCAACTTTACGGTCCAACCTAAAATACATTCTTTTATTAGCAAATAAATTTTATATGTAGAGAATGTTGCGAGCGGATTGCTCCTTTGAACAAGTGCACTCCACATATATATATATATATACACATTTTAAGGTGAAAAAGAAGGAAGAAATACGTATATTGTTTATCTGATTTAACTAAAACTCAATTTCAATATAATGATCAGTAATGTACCAATAAATATAATGATAAGTACTTCTACTGGAAATTTTGAAACAAAATAAATGGATACAACGTAGAATTCCAAAATCCATTTTCTTTCCTTAATATATGGCATGGACTTTACATCTCTCGGCTTTCACCATCTTAAATTTCCCAAACTTCCCTTGCATCTTCTCTTACTCTTGAAAATGTTAATCCCAGGACCCAGGAGAATTAACACCACAGGCATTGATGGTGTTTCTAATATGTCAAGTGAGAAAACCCTGCACATCCAGTAAAGAAAACATTCAATTGAAACAGTGAGATGATTAGAATGTTATTTGAAAACCTTGACCAAGCAAGTATGAATGCCTTGGCATTTGGCATTCAACTAACCAGGGTAATTCATTTGCTTGTTCCTATGTATAATCAACAACCTGTAGCTCATGAAACGTGTCCCTTCGGCTCCTTAGAACTCTTGCTTTGTTTTCTCTGATTTCTAGAACCTTGTGAACAGAATCAAGGAAAAATCCCATTACTTCAAATTTATTCTTAACATTGCATTCTAACCATTGTTAACAAGAGAGAATTTGAGTCATTTGATGGCTTTCTGAACTCAAATCAAACATCACCGAATATAAATCTGTCTCAGTTGGCAGTATTGAAGCTTGGAGACTAGAAATCATTACAAGAAAACAACCAACAGTTGAAGAGCTTTTGAAAGGAATTATATTTATTTCACCTCAGGTCTTGAATTAAGGACTCCACTGGACATTCCCACATCAATACGCCATATGCTGCAATTGTACTCACTGAGGGACAAGAAAAGCAATTAATTACTAAATGCATAATAGATGAGTGGAGCCCTAGTATATGAGACCAGGCCTACTTAACTAATTCAGATGGTATTTTATAGATGTTACAAGAAAATAGCATACCAATTTGCCCCAGAATATTGTGGTGTATGGCCCACCACCATCCCCTTGGCACCTAGCACTTGCAGTGTCTCTTCGAGAATAGCTTGTGTCTGCTGATAAATATGTCATTTTAGTTCCACAAAATGTAAAGTTGATTTAGGATGAATACAGAACTCAACGTTAGGAAAAATACTTGCCTGGTCAATTTGATAAACCTCCAAATCAGAAACATCCCTAGAGTATAAGCGATTCCAAACAACACTATCATATCCCCTTGTTGCTATAAAAGGGATGTGAGGACTGCCATCAGTCTCGCTGAGACCTCTCATCCAGTAAGATACTTCCATGTTCATCCTCTCTATCCCATATTCAACTGTGGAAGTACCAAGACTCCTATCAGCCATTTCAAAACCAAAAGCAGGATAAAACTTCTCCCATACTAATGATGATTTGACCAAGCTGATTCACTTTTAATATTTGGCCAACAAGAAAAGGATTCACTTTTAATAGCATTGATATATAATTTACCATGGTGAGGAAGAAGGCCACCATGACAAAAGACCCAGTCATTAACCTTGAGAACAACAGAATGTCGTGCCAACTCGCATGCCAGTGGACCTCCAGGCCTAAATAGGACTGATCTAGCAATCACCCCCTTTTGTCTCTGTCCTAATAATTCAATAGCTTTATTAGAAACATTTTTTAATATTATAACTGGAAACTGGGGGAAAAACAAAAACAAAAACTTTCTTCCCTAACAAAAGTCACTAACAGGAATAGAAAAATAAAAATGTAGAAGAGCATGGTAGCCTTGTTTTGGATGAAAAAGAATGCATATCATGATCGTAGTAGCACTAGCATCAGTCAGAATCAGAAGCTGAATAACCCTCCACAAATCTGTGAGCTCAGAGCTACCAAACTTAAAAATGTTGTTGTTGTTGGTTGCCATGTCCTATTAGTTATAGTGTAAAGGACATCAAGGAAGCAAAGCTTGCAATGTTTTCATGCTAGATGCATAATTTTTCAAATATCCTTTTTTACTTAGTAATCCTGCTGTCTTACCTTTTGATTCTCTAAGAAGCTAGAGAGGATCAATATATATATAAAAAGAAAAAGGGAAGAAACTAGAGACAATCACACATGACTGTTTTGCCTGATAACAACAATGGACCGTAATTCAAAACTCTAAAAGAGTTGCATCCATTGCTTGATGTTTACTTGAAATGATCCTATGAAAATTTGACTTTTTCCTCAGGCAAATTTCTGTAAAAGAAAATTCCAGAGTGGACTCTAACTTAAGAAGTATACGTAGTTGAAAGAAATCTTAAACAAGCATTAGGACAGTAGGCAAGAAAATTACCAGAATTGACATCCATAACCACATAAATATGCATTATCAAAAGATGAACTCCAAAGAAAATGACCAATAGTTGTGCCAAGAACAAGAAGAAGCTTGTTATGACTATGTTACTTCTGTAAATTCACATGATAGATAAATTTAGTACCTCTACTAGATTCCATGGACCCCAATTTGCAGACATCTTCCGGTCACCTTTCCATCTTTTAGACACACCATGCCAACCAACAAATGCTTCTTCCCAATCATATTTGTTGCCATTCAAGTATTCAAGGAAACCAGCACACTCGTCAAATGCTCCAGGTTCTACGTATCTAAAATCCCCTTCCACATTCATAGTCTCATGATTCCCATTGATCTGTTTTGAGAAGAAATGATGAGCATAAGAATTAATCAATTAAGTACAAGTTTCACAGGAGAAAACCATTAAGATTAAGAAACTATCCTTCCAATCAAATTTTCTAAAGTGAAAAACACTGATTTCTTGCAGAATGAATCAAGAGAATTAGCATGGCTAGTTACAAATAGCAATCAAAAGAATACGCAAACAATTGCATATTCTTTAACTATAAACCAGATATCAGATGGTTGCAAGCCGCAAATTGAACTTCTGGAAGCTGTTTCGGCTATTTTTACTTCTGGCACCACAAACCTGAAAAACAGCTCCACCTTCAGCTTTGGCTTGTATGTCTAATGATCTCAACAAGGATAGGATGGCTATTTCATCTTCACCTCGATCAAGCACATCTCCTAGTTGAATGAGTACCTTTTTAACAGACAGAAATCTTATATTAGCAGCAGGAGTAATCCAGCCTCAATTCTACTGTAATCAGAACTAATTTGTAGAAAGAGCAATGGAACTCACAATATTAGTTAAGTAATGATAGAATGTCTACGCCATAGAATACGAAATTCTTTCAGAAAAAGGAAATGGAAATCACAATACTGAGTTTTCCGCAAATTTCTTAATAAGAAGCATACCGTATCTTCACCGGTCCATAAGTCTTCCCCATCTGAACTCAAAACACCGCCAATCTGAAGTGCGCGTCTTGCTTGATCAAGATCTCCGTGTAAATCCCCAACTATACACAGAAACAAAATTGGAGTCGTCGATTAGCAGCAGAATTACAGAGCGGCCACATAGGAAGGAGCTGAAAGCACGAAATTCGACACCAATTTTACAATGATGTAATCAAACCTGCAATAATCCGACGACCAGGAGCCGAAACAACCGTAGGAGGAGTCCCGTTGACGACAATCGGCTTCACAGCTCCTTCTCCAGCGCTGCCATTGGTGAAAGCAACAGCAGACGACAGAGAAGATAAAGAAGAGTCGGTCAGTTTCCGAGGGTGGGAGGAGGGAGACATAGGCAGCGAATTCAAGCACAGCGAAGCCATTACTTTGCTGGCTTGCTTTTGTTTATTCGGAGGCCAAAAAAAAAAGAAGATGAAGAAACGTTTTATCATTGTTCTGTTTTCTCGTTTGGTTAGAAATATAATAATTTACCAGAATCGGGAAAGTTTTTCCGCCAGTCATTTCGCATATCCTCTCTGCGTTTGTTCAAATTTTTCTGGCTGTGTTTGGCTCACTTTTTCTTTGTTTTTTTATTTTTTGTTTTTCGATTTATTTCAAATTTGGGTTCTTTGCATTTCCTTTAGGGGATTTTTTTTTTTTTCTTTTTTTTTTTTTTTTATTTTTTAATTTTAGGTTTTTCTTTAAAAAAACCTTCTTTTCTTTTCTTTCAGTTAATTGGTTATTTGTTTTTTTATATTTTTTTGTAATATAATAATTTACCAGAATAGGGAAAGTTTCTCCGCCAATCATTTCGCATATCCTTTGTTCGTTTGTTTCAATTTTTTTGGCTGTGTTTGGCTCACTTTTGTATCATTTTTGTATCACGGGAAATGGCATTTCCGAAGGAACATAGAGTCATAGATACCGCAAGTGTAAGTTTATCATCGATTTGGACTTGGACCACAAACAAAAGTCAGGCCTTCTTAATAAACTCCTTGCACATTTGGGCCGTTGGCCTATTGCGAATAGGGTATAGCCGTACAGCCAATAGGTCGTTCAGTGGGCTTAGTGCTTAGACAACAATCATGGTCAGGCCCAAGTTAACACAGTTAGACCAGACCAAGACCCTTCCATTTTCCTTATGGGGTCGACCCGAGGAATGTTCAATGTACTAAGGGCGATAATATATTTTGGTCAAGCTTGAAGCCAAAATATTTTCCAAATTACTGTGACTCGAAAGAAAATAATTGGAATTTACTGTGGTTACAAGGACTTGGTTTTCCTTTCAACATGACACCTAGATTGAAAAGCAAAAGGGACCTAAATAAGGCTGGTTGGAACTTGGAAGAATTGGTCGAAGTCTAACTAAAAAAGGGGGTTATCTCTATTATTACCAATGCCAGACATGTGTTGACATAAATATATTACTACTCTAAAAGAGACACACGCCAACACCTTTCCTTTAAAAGTATTCTTCCTTGAAATAGCATATTAGCATCTATTAGTACAAAGAAGAAGGGTCAATAACATAAATAATTTAGTTTTTTTTTTTTAAGTTATAAGTTTGAATTACATATATAAATGGGATGAGTTAAAGAATTAAAAAAATTATTTTTTATTATGTAACTTAAGATAAAAAAACAAGTATAAAAAAGTACTAAGTATGATATATAGACGCATCATGCAGTTCGATAAATTAAGGGTTTGATTTAGCAATTTGGAATATCCATTGAATTAATTAATTAGTTAAAGGTTTTTTTAAATTAAAAGTGTATGTTAAAGAAGTAATCAATATATTTTTTAATAATTAATTTGTATTAAAAAAATGAAACTTAACTTTAAATTTTATCAACTACACATTTCAAATCATACTGGTGATAATTAATTTTTATCAAAGAAATAAAACTTGACGTTTTGTTTATCAATCAATATAATTCAAATCATACATAGGTTGCATTGGTATAAATATTAATATTAATTTTTATATAATTTTTTTTTTTTAACAAATTTCGCAATGGGTCCGATTCAAATTGTTATCCTAGAGTGGAAAAATGTACTTATACGTGACTTGACACTATAGGTCGAAAGGTCCAAGTGCAATTTTTTTATAAATTAATTACTCAAATATATATTAATTACATTTTAAGATACATCTTAAAGAAATTCACTTATTAATGTAGAAAGTGAAAGGAACGGTCCGCTCCAGTCTAATGATATTGTGATATTAGGTTATAGTTATTCTGGGTTGTACGTTCAAACCTCATGAAAACCCTTTCCATTCCCCTTTAATTAACTCTATAAATAATTACAAATTGTAAAAAAAAAAAAAATACAGAGAACGAATAGCTAGCTATATACATTTGACGTATATAGGGTGATGTGTATATTATAAAGAGTTGATGGAGGTGAGGAGCAGGGGGTAATAGCCACCCACTCCCACCATGAAAACGAGGCTAGGAGCGTGGGGTCGAGGGGCCCCTGATCCGGTTCTGGCGTTTGTTGTATTGCTAGAATTCAGACAAGTGGGAGAGCAAATGTGTGCAGATTGTCGGTCTGGGTCCTACCATAGGAAAACTAAAAAAACTCACAACTACTCACAACTGTTTTTTTCTTCTTCCCTTTTTTTACTTTTTAACCTCGATCATTTAATTTTCTCTTTTAGTATTTCTATGTATACTACTACTAGCTAGTAGCTACCTACCACGGACGTCTTTTCTTTATGTGTTTTTCAATTTAAAAAATTATTTTATAATTTAAATTATATTAAATTATAAAATAATAATTTTTAAACTATAAAAAATTTTAATATTAAATTT